TACTGTGCTATTAAATATTTCTTGCTATTGCGCAATACTGTACAATTGACAATTTCTTGCTATTGCGCAATATTGTGCTGTTGAATATTTCTTGCTATTGCGCAATACTGTGCAATTGAAGATTTCTTGCTATTGCGCAATACTGTGCAATTGAAGATTTCTTGCTATTGTGCAATACTGTGCAATTGAAAATTTCTTGCTATTGCACAATACTTACTATATAATAATTAACACATCCTGTTTGGTGTGTATCTCCTACCATATCATTATTATTTGCTTTTAAATATAAATCAGAAATAACCAACTAAAAAGGAAAATTTTAAAAGAAAAAAAAAAGGAAAAAAAGAAAAAAAAGGAAAACCCCCCCCCCCCCAAATTTTTTGAACCCCCTTATGATTCATCACCCCCAAACTCAATCCCAGTCTTCCCTTTGTGGTATGGTACCTTGCAGTACAATTTCAGAGAGATCCATACATTTGAATACAAGTTATTGTCTGGAAACTAGAAAAATGCTTATTTTTGGCCCCTTTTTGGCCCCAAATTCCTAAACGGTTAGGGCAATTACCCCAAAACTCAAACCCAGCTTTCCCTTTGTGATATGGAACCTTGTAGTACAATTTCAGAAAAGATCCATACACTTACACACAAGTTATTGTCCTGAAACTAGAAAAATGCTTGTTTTTTGCCCCTTTTTGGCCCCTAATTCCTAAAATATTGAGGCAATTACCCCCATCATCAATCCCAGCCTTCCCTTTGTGGTATGGTACCTTGCAGTACAATTTCAGAGAGATCCATACACTTGAATACAAGTTATTGTCTGGAAACTAGAAAAATGCTTATTTTTGGCCCCTTTTTGGCCCCCAATTCCTTAACGTTTCAGCAATTACCCCCAAACTCAATTCCAGCTTTCCCTTTGTGATATGGAACCTTGTAGTACAATTTCAGAAAGATCCATACACTTACACACAAGTTATTGTCCTGAAACTAGAAAAATGCTTGTTTTTTGCCCCTTTTTTGGCCCCGTATTCCTAAAATTTTGAGGCAATTACCCCCAAAATCAATCCCAGCATTCCTTTTGTGATATGGAACCTTGTGGTACAATGTCAGAGAGATCCATACACTAACACACAAGTTATGTCTGGAAGTTACAAAAATGCTTATTTTTGGCCCCTTATTGGCCCCTAATTCCTTTACTGTTGGTACCATAACCCCCAAAATCAATCCCAACCTTCCTTTCGTGGTATTGAACCTTATGGTAAAATTTCATGGAGATCCATTAATTTAAACTAAAGTTAGAGTGCGAAAACCAATGTGTCTTCGGACGACGACGACGACGACGCCAACGTCATACCAATATACGACCAAAAAATTTTTAATTTTTGCGGTCGTATAAAAACGAAAGAGAGCTCACTTAAATAGATATAAACAATTCATCAAAGTTTTATGCAAATTGTTTTTTGAGTTGATGACCGACATGTTGACGACGGATGGACAGACGGAAAACGGTATAGACCCCTACTATAATACGTCCCGTAAACGGGCATATATAAAAATGCTTGTTTTTGGCCCATAATTCCTAAATTGTTGGTACAGTACCATAACCCCCACAATCAATCCCAGCCATCCTTTTGTGATATGGAACATTGTGGTACAATGTCAAAGAGATCCATACACTTAATTAAACATAAGTAATTGTCAAGAAACTACAAAAATGCTTTGTTTTTGGCCCCTAATTCCTAAACTGTTGGTACCATAACCCCCAAATTCAATCCTAACCTTCCTTTTGTGTTATTGAACCTTTTTATAAAATGTCATAGAGATCTATTCAATTTAACCAAAGTTATTGTCCGGTAACCAAATGTGTCTTCAGAGACGATGATGCAGACATCATATCATATACTTTATATGAATTGAAAAAATGTTTGCTCTATTTTTAAAAGGAATTCTGGAGAAAAAAATGTTTAGTTATTTGGTGAAACTCTGAAAAATTTCAAGATGTCTCCTAAAATTTGTGGTACATGTAATAACATGGACTACAACAGTTTGTTAGAAGTCAATATCAGACCACCTCTTGAGCCCAGAACTAAGAAACATTGCTCAAAGAAGCTGTCACCAAGAGCCAATGCACGTCGAATTTAAGGAAGACTATCAAACATGCCAGCTAGACATGTAGACCTAACAATCGTTCCCTACACCAAAAAAAGTAGACCTATTGCATACAGTATAAGAAAAACAGACCGAAACACAAAAACTTAACTATAACCACTGAACCATGAAAATGGGGTCAGGTCAGATGAGACCTGCCAGTTGGACATGTACACCTTACAGTGCTTCCATACACCGAATTTACTACACCTATTGCTTATAGTATCTGAGATATGGACTTGACCACCAAAATTTAACCTTGTTCACTGATCCATGAAATGAGGTTGAGGTCAAGTGAAAAGTGTCTGACGGGCATGAGGACCTTACAAGGTACGCACATACCAAATATAGTTATCATAAAACTCATAATAAGAGAGAAATCAACATTACAAAAAATCTTAACTTTTTTTCAAGTAGTCACTGAACCATGTAAAGGAGGTCAAGAACAATGGACATGTGTGACAGACGGAAACATGAGGAATCTATACACAAAGTATGAAGCATCCAGGTCTTACACCTTTAGCTAACGCCACCGTCGCATCACTGTCCCTATGTTGAGATTTCTGCAACAAAAGTCGGACAGGCTTGACAATAAACTGCTTCGCTGAGCGCAGCTGGATATGCCTGCAGAGGTCCAACCCTGAACAGTTGGGGCAAAAATGGACACAATATTCAAACTTGATACCGGTCTGAATTTGGATTGTGATTAAATATTTGACATATTACAGGTTTCTGAATAAATGTAGTCAAAGAACTTGAAATTGGTTATATGAATTGAATTTATATTCAATTAAAGATTTCTTGCTGTTGTGCAATACAATGTGCTGTTGCGCAATACCGGTACTTAGTAAATCTGTTGTCAGACTATAAACAAATAAAGTTCAATTAATTCTCAATATCATATTAGAAATTTATGAAAATCAAAAGGGAGCTTACATCAACAGATATAAACAATTCGCCAAAGTTTCATGAGAATTGCTGACAGCATTTTTGAGTTATTGTCCGAAAACTGGAAAATCCCCCTTTTTTAATGAATAAAACCCCATAACTGGAAAATCCCCCTTTTTTAATGAATAAAACCCCATAACTCAGAAATGTAAAATGTAAAATTTATAAAATTCTAAAGGGAGCTTTGGAACAACATTGGAAGGATTCAGTTTGGGCTAGATTGACTTGGGCCGGATCAGTTTAGGGATTGAACAACTGGATACCAAAAGTTCCTAGCATTCAAATTAAACCATAGGAGGAGTCTGAGCTATCTGGAATACATGTAGCTATAATGAGATGGACGGAAAACAATATGCCAACCAACTTTCAGTTGCAGGGCATCAACAAACAACAAAAATGCCAAGAACAATAGCATATTGAAATAGAATAACATTATTATACCAGTATACTATTGTGTGTGACGATATGGGCCTCGTCTTTCAACTTTAGTTTTGGGTTGGGAATAGCTCAGAATAAAAACATGTCTTACGTTATGACATTTAATAAAAGAGAGAGAGAGTAAAACAAAAAGTCGTTTTCCGGACATCACTTGTAATTCTGTAAACATGTACATGTACACATATAAAACTGAATAACATATAATTATAATATTATAATATATATATCTACATATATAACATCATATGCACAAATTCATTCGGAATTATCCGTCTGCCAGGGGATGTTGTATATTTGTATTATCAGAGACATATATGTATTATATGTCTCTGGTATTATATATGTGTCATTCAATTTTATATGTTTTTATGGAATTGTACAAATGTACAAGTGATGTCCCGAAACCCCTTTTTGTTTTACACTCTCTCTGTTATTAAATGTTGTTGATGTAAGACAATATCATCGCTTGTGACTGTCAAGTTTAGGTGAACCGTTTTCCAGAGGCAGATTTAGAGGGGGCCCACTGGGCCTGGCCTCCCCCCCTTTTCAGGAAAATTTTGGTTACTTATATGGGGAATCACTGAAGCATGACCGGAGCGGGCCCCCTCTTAAGACAGTCAGTGGGCCCCCACTTATGAACATTTCTGGATCCACCACCGTTAGTGGGTCTCATTGGGGTCTAAGCGTGACGCGGGATAGCCGATTTTTTGTAAGCGTGACACTTGAAGGTTAAATTATTGTGCTGTGAAAACTGGAAATGAAGTCTAGCGGGACACTGGAAACTTAAAAAAAAATGAAAATTGCCTACGTAATTTGTACATAGTGTAAGCAGGATACTGGAATCTGACAAAACAGTACTGGTCGACGACCAGTTACCGTCAATTGCATTTTTTCCGCGAAACGTCGTGGTCAATCCGATGACGTCATCGTGTTTTTTAACGGACAAGCATCAAGAAGTTGTTGACAAAATTTAGTTCAGTAAGTATCAGTTTTTGGTTATTTATTTGTTAAAAAACACTATTTTTATAACCCCCGCATCTCATGTTCAGACGGGGGAATCCTCTGTAGCAAAAATAAATAGAAACTGACCTAAAAAAGGTTTGTTTACATATTTTCTAGAACCCTGTTCATCATTTGGAAATCATTTTAGCCATTCATTTCACGATTTTGAATACTAATATATTTTATAAGAATTGTCATCTGTCTCAGATTCTCATTGGGCGCCATTTTAGCAGATTTTCACCTGGGATGCAAAAATGGTGACAACCCTTTTGATATCATAATGCTATTGGAAGTATTATTTCGTATATTTGTACCCATAATATAACATTGAAAACATTAAAGATATACCTGGTATATTCTATATTCTACACATTTCATTCATTGCATAACAAATAAACATGATTTGAAACACCATTACGCTTTCCCTTCCAGAATAGAGGTTTTAATAATAAGATATATTCACTTACATTTTGGAATTCACAAATTTTATTCCTAGATCGATCATCCAGACTGCCTTTGCAGGTCGTACAACATAAAGCATGCACATTTGAGAATAAAAGCGTACGTTTCCAGCATTGTTTACTAAAACTGCAACGCTTAAAGTCAAGGCCATTGTTGTTGTTGTTGTGCTGGTAAATTCCTCCGTTGACTTCGGAGCACCCTGTCGTAAACAGGTATAAGGTTACCAATTGAAAAGATTGGTGGTGGTGTTCGGAAAAAAAAAAAAAAAAAAAAATTAAATATATCACTAAAAGTTCCTTTGTCTAAACTATTGCTCACACGATATAAAGTTCACAGATTGTTATTATAATTTATTAAGGTTCACTGCCCTAAGATTGTGCAATTCATAAATTAAATTTCTGCTGATTTCTTAATGTCTCTGATAATGTCACTTTGTATTTCTATATAACCCATTCTGGTTAACATTGAGCAGTCCAGAATACAGTGCATGAGAAGCCCTCCGTCGTTAAATATTTCTTCTGCTGTGTCAGTGCTGATTTTTCTAGCCAAAAGCTGCTTTAGTAGAGCTAAATGCTTTGAACGTGGTGACTCTAGTACTGTGCGTTTAAGGATGAAATGGCATCTGTCCTCAGTGTGTGTTTTACAAAGAAGGCAGGTTTCAGACACTGCATGTTGATTGAATCTTTTGCGATCAGCTTGGAGAGTATAGGTACATGTGAGAAGGCGAGCTTTGATTGTGGCTTTTGAGATGTCCCTGATGTTGTTCTGAGTTGTTTTCCAGATATTGTGTGGATGTTTGGTAGCCAGTTCTTGTAGGTTCAGATATTTTAATGATTTTTTCTGTTCGATCTCATCTCTCCAGGACTCTTCCCAGTATTTGTTGATAGCTGAATCGATTTGCTTCTTCCATAGGGTTTTACTTGGTGGATTGTTCATAATTTCGAATGCTGTTGGAAGGCTATATTTCTGTAGGATGATCCTTATATGTGTAAACCAGCTGTTACTTGTTTCATCCTTCATTGCTAACTGACGTCTGGCAATCTTATGTTCTATAAACTCTGGGTGTGAAGCAATGTTGTAAAAGGTGGTCAAGGAGTTTCGCTCTATATGGACTGTAATTGGAGTTGTCCCTAGTAAAGCATACACTGCAACGTTAGCGCATCTGTCAGGCAGCCCTTGGATCTGTTTCAGTAGTTTCCGCTCGTAGATTTCCAAAGCGTTGAGTTCTTTCTGCTGTAATTTTACTACTTCAAGTCCATATGTTATTCTGGGCCTGCTAAATGTTGTAAATATTTTATTCGTTACTACAGGATTGATACCATTTTTCCCGTGTAAGCCAGCTCCTAGTAAGGCATACATTGTACGTCGTCCTTTCTCTATTCTGCTTTCGATATCATTTTTCTTGTTGGCATTTCTCACTATCCCAATATGAGTTGTTTAATTGGACTTCTGCTATTGTTTCGTTTCCAATTTTCCATTCCTGTGGCTCCCTTCCTCTTTTGGTGTTAAAGATCACTGCATCGCTTTTGAAGGAGTTTATTGTGACTTTGTCTATTTTGGTTGAGTCGTTCACTATATTCAGTGCACACTGTAGATCTATAGGGTTGAAAGCAATCAGAGCAATGTCATCAGCTACTGTAGGTGCCCCAATAAATGTTGTTCCAATTTTTGCCCCAGCATCATGTAGTTGTAAGGTTTGAAGAAGTTGATTGTTGTATCTTTTATACAGGGATGGTGAAAGTTTTGCTCCCTGTCTAATGCCTTGTATGGACTGGAATATTTTGCTCAGGTTGCCTTTCCATTTGACCTTGGTATTAGCTTCTGTTTGTAGCAGCTTAATGAGTAACCATCTTGTATCCTTAATTCCAGAGTGGAATACTTTTCTGAGGAGTATTTGGTGGTCGAGTTTATCGAATGCCTTTTCTGCGTCAAGGGTTACCACTCCAGCAGAGATGTTTTGGTCACAGGCTTCATTAATACCTTCTGTTACTACCAGCCCAGCATTAACAGGTGAAGTCTCTTCTGTAAACCCCCGCTGTAATCTACTTTGTGTGGTTTTGAGTTCATCATTTGTGTCATCTTGGAGAACAGTTTCAAGTATCTTACTCAGTACTGGAGTAACTGCAATACCTCTGTAGTTACCAGGCAGTTTAGAGTCTTTGTCCTTCTTTAATACTGGAGTTAACAAGCCTGTCTGTAGATTTTCTGGGATATAGCAGTATGTGATGATGTTCAAGATGATAGATGTTATATATGTGATCGCGGTTTCACCCCCATACTTTAGATGTTCTGCAGTTAAGCCAAGGTGGTCTGGAGCTTTTCCGTTGGACAGTTTCTGTACGGCTTTTCTGATCACATTATCATTTACTTTTAGGATAGGTTGTTTGGATTTTTGGCCTTTGATAAGTTCCTCAATGAGTAGGCAATCAATATTTATCAAATGTTGTACATCTTTGTCATATTCATCGTTGTCCATGGGTGTTGCCAGAGTTTCAAAGTGTTTTTTCAAGCCATTTAGAATTTTGTCATCATCATCCAGTATTTCGTCATCTACAATGATTACGTCTGTTTCTCCATGTCTTGTTGTTCTTTGTTCTTTGATGAGTTTGTAAAAAAGTTTTTGGTTGATTTTTTGAGATTCCATAACGTTATTGTATTTGGTTTCTCTTATTCTGGATTGTGCTTGTCGCTGGAGTTGTCTAAATTTCTTTTTCTTACTTTTCATATCTTGATATAGTTGGTTGTTGGGGTTTCTTTGTGAACCAGTTGTTTTCCACTTGTGGTATGCAATTTTTGCCGCCTTTGAAGCTTCCTCTATTTCGTAGTTCCATGCCCCACCACCTTTTGTTCTTGTGACATTCTGTTTTTGAGCATTGTATTTTGGAATGGATGCAGTTCCTGCTTCATGTAGAACATTTGTCAGGTGCATTACATCTAGTGCAATGTCAAATTTACAATATACAGGTGCCTTGTTCGTTTCAAGCAGCTCTTCAATTGTTTGGTTGTATACTTACTTGTCACATTTATCCCATTTTGGCTTTTTGAATGATATTTGGTTGGGTACGGTTTTGGGTGTTTTTGCCAACTTCTCTACTTTGATTTTACCCATGATTAGGCTGTGGTCAGATGTGTTAAGAGGTTGTAGTCCCATATTTTGTATATCTCCAATTGACTCTGCTGTTTGATTTCTTGGTGTAATGAAGTAATCAATTGTTGCAGAGGCCTTGCCATCATGGTGAAAGAAAGTTGCTGTTTCTGGATATTGCTTTGGAATGATCAGATCCTGTTCAGCCATGAAGGATTTTAGTGCTTTGTCGTGATCGTTTTCAGGTTTCCGAAAGAGAGAGCCGTTCATATCACCACCGATTATCAGAAGGTGGGTGTCTTTATATTTTATGATAATTTCTCTTAGACTATCTAGTACCTCCATGTATTTTGTTTTGGCTTGATCTTTTCCTCTGCTTGGTAGATATACATTTATTAAGCATATTGGCTTAGGTTTGGCTTCATTGTTATAGGATTAAAAGCCTTTTTAAAGAAATTTATTGGTGTATAAACTCGACCAATTCACTAAAAAACGAATAATGAAGTCCGAAGACTTTTTTATGATATGTTTGTGAGTGACTTGGTACAGTTTATACACCAATAAATTCCTTTAAAAAGGCGTTTAATCCTTATAACTCTTTAAAATTACAGATACGGAATTTATTTTCCACACTCGTAACCTCTATCACACGTAAATTGTATATTTGTGTCATTGAATAGGCCTGGCGCATGAATATATTTGTTGGTTAACGCAAAAATATGTACTCCTCTGATAAAAAATAAACTACAAAAACTCGTATTATCATTCAAACGAAAGTTTTGTGTTTATTATTTAATTATCTGTATTAAGACCTATTAACGCGAATTGAAAATAAATCTTGTTAACGTCGATCAGGATTGTATCATTATCGCCGCCATCTTGTTTACATTGGTTACGAAAAGAAGTTCGGTCAACGTCGTCTATCGAAAAATAAACAACGTCAAGAACAACTAACGGAAGTCCTCTCAACCAATCATATCAACGTATTATCTAATATGCAAATCATATAAGAATTATTATAATATTACGTCACATCTTTGTATTAGCAAGCAAGCACTTGTTACTTTTAAGGGGTATTTAAGGGATATTTATTACCAATGTACATGTACACGAAATCTGTTAAATTCGTTCACCTGTACATGGACGGAATTACCTAACGAACGACGTTGAAGGCCGGTAAAGCATTCCTTTTTATTTATTATAAAGAGTTTTAAGTCATACCATATTCTTTGTTTAGGTACTTCTAGGATCTTCTTGCTTAAACAGTATAACTTCTGTGTTTTCAGTCACAAACATTACATTAATCATGAAAAATAAATCGGGAGGCTTCCAAGAGATTTATCACTTAACTAGCAATAGACGTATTTACACTTGTATGCAAATTTGTCCGCCATTACGTAAAATCACACAGGTTCCCGTAAACTTTGACATCATAATTCAAAACATTTGACGTCACAATTAAAAAGTGATTGTTGCCTGACGTCAAAAGGTGATTCAGAGTAGATCTAAGGTCATTCGGAGGCAAAATATAGCTAAATACCAAAAGTGTAAATACGGTTATACGCTGCTGTTTTATATGAAACAGCAGACATTTGGTTTTCCCGTTTGAATGGTTTAACACTAGTCATTCTTTCGGGCTCTTTATAGCTTGCATTATAGCGGCAGCCAAAGCTCCGTGTCAAAAGCCGTCCTTCGACCTATAAGGTTTACTAGGTTAACAAATTGTGACTTTAATAGAGAGTTGTCTTATTGGCACTCAAGCTAAAATCTTCTTATATCCATCATGTCACAACCCCACACACACAGGTCTACATTAAAAAAAAATTGACGTACAAAGAAAAGCTATATCATCAAACAAATGGCCCAGATTACAGTACTTAAATTAATCAAGGGGACAAACATAACGAATTATTTTAAAACACGAGAAAACAGACAACATTGTACACCACATTAAGTGCACATAGATACAAGAAGATGTGGCATGAGTGCCAATGAGACAACTCTCCATTCAAGTCACAATTTGTAAAAGTAAACCATTACAGGCTACTAAAGGCTACTAAAGGCTTCCAAGAACAACCA